TATAATTATAAAAAGTTTTATTAGTAACATCTTTTAATTTTTTATAAAAATTTTAATCAGACATGCAAATTATATAACAAATGATCTACATCAAACTCTACCCTTAAATATATGATTCTAGAAGCTATATCTCATATTGTAAAATTACAAATTATATAAAACCAAATTTACTGAAACTTACTAAAATTATAGTAATTTTTACAACTTTACCTGAAAGTGTAATTATACTCTTTTTGACAAAGTTGTATACTGATTGTTCTAGTGCATATGTTCTAACTATGAGGTAATCTAAATCTAAGAATCGAAATAACTTACAATATTGATTAACATTTTTTAAATAATGAGGTTTCTTGTCAGGTTCACCATCTACAATAATAATCCATAAGGGTTTGACCTCATTGTTATACTTAAAAATTGCAAAGAAATTTTTATTACTGACTAAAGATATGATGTCTGCTATATATGAAGCAGATGTTGAACTAAGATGCCATTAAGCTCTAATAAAGATTAACAATTGACCATGTTGTAAAGATTTATTTGATTCTTTAAGATTTATCATCAAATATACAGATAATATTAATTTTGTAACATGCCAATAGGAAAATCATAATTAGAAACAGATACTGATTCATTAATAGATTGCATGGCTTGAAAATGTCTTCCTACTGCTAGAATGCTAATCAAAACTTTTACTTTGTCATCTTGAAGAGCATTACAGTGAAGTTAGCAAAAGTCATAGCAAACTGTTTTGTATTTTTTACAGATATAAGACAGTAATGCTCATCCATATGGCTTCTTCTATCATCTCTTGAAATGCTAGTGATTCCAATAAGAGCAGGATAATGGTAGGTTCTAGCTGCCAAGCTACAGTTTGAATAAGGTAAAATGTAATTTCACATAATAGTGCAAAACATATATACATTATAATTTTCTTCTAAAGCACTTCAAAGGTGCTCTACAGTTTTAACTTTAATAATTTCATATCTTTTTCATGCATCTGCTTTACCAAATTCTATACAACTGTAAATTTGATTATGAAGATTTGGATATTGAAAAAGAAGAGACAGATGACCAAGCTAGTTATATATTACAACAATACATTATCATTAAGTGCTTTTGATTTTTTTATTTGAGATTTTTGTTGACTAGATGCATGTCTTTTGAGTTTTTTAAGTTGTTTTTCTTCTTCAGTAATATTCTTTTTAATTTCAGCTATCCGAGAGCTAAGGTTGTTATGATGCTAAGAATTAGTTATTATTGTGATCATTTGCTCTAATTCTGATAATTCTGTTTCTAATTTTTTGATCATTTCAAAACTTTTTTTTTGTGCTATCACATTATTATGAATTGGTTCTCTGGGTCCTGTTATAATAGAGACTCATGGCTGTTGTAGATTGCTAGAAGAAGATTAAAAAAAAGATTAAAAAAGCTGTTTATAGAATGTAGAAGCCATAATACAACCATGCAATTGTACTAGAATATTTAAATATTCTCTTATTTTTGCTTAAATATTTTCTTCTTTTTTTTTTTTATAAAATGCCATTTTGTAGCTGTCTCTTTATATAACTTATTTTTATTTACACCTAGTGTTCCAGTTGATGTCATTTTATAGAAAACATAAGCATTGACAAAATGTTGATATGTGTTTTCTGGATTTGAATATGCATATTTTTTGTCAAACTTTGGTGCAGATAAAAAGGTTTGCATTTGAATTTTATATTACCAATAAATGATTTTAGGCTTTTATAATTATATATATTTATTACATTTAAGATAAATATTAATTATTGTTAATAGAAGAAAATCTGTGCAGTGTTTATGCAATTAGTGTTTGCATCAGAGGTACAGAGAATCACATAAATTCTGTGTTCTTGGTTCATATAAATTATCTATCATGATGCATCAATAAGGGGTATAAAGTAGAAAACAAGAATTTTCAAGACTATCTAATTATTATATTATAAGTATATTCTAATTCTAATATTTTCTAACAATATTATTATTATTATGTAGTTCTCAAAATTCAAAATCAATAAACAAATATATACAAAGTACATTTTGGTGTTATTTTAAGCTCTGTGATAGACTATTGCAACTATAAAGAGTTTAATCTGTAATTTTATTATATAAATACAATTTTATTAATATTTTTTTTTTTTGAAATACCAAAGTAGAAACTTTATTAAGTAATAGAAGAATTACATTAAAGATTTCTAAACTATATTT